TATATATATATATATATATATATATATATATATATATATATATATATATATTTATAAAATGAACAAAATTTTCTATAAGGACTTAATATTCTTTTATTTGGTACACATATTCATGTAGAAAGCTAAAAACATTTATTTGTTGTTATACATTAATTAGGACTCCTTTGTCTGCATTGTTACAAGCTATTGTGAATGTGGAGACATGTAAGTTTCCTAAACATGCCTAAATTAGCATTAATTTTATCTTAATCAATGATAATGATGTATTTCTTGATAGATTTTGTACTTGTTTTCAGGGCTGATATGATTAAAAAAGCCAGAGGAACATTTTTCTCTGAAGATGTAAGAAAATAAGAATAAATTTCCAACAAAACACAAAATGGATTTTGAACTCAAGTTTACTTTTGTTTTGCCAACAGAGACTTTGCAAATGGTTGATACAGTTGTTACTGGCTCTCGATTACCTTCACTCGAATCGTGTTCTTCACAGAGATCTTAAAGTATGACCATTTTTAAAAAAAGATTGTAGAGTTTTGGAGTAACTCGTACTAATAGTTTTCATTTGCTCTGCTTCAGTGCTCTAACATTTTCCTTACTAAAGACGACGAAATCAAACTTGGTAATAAGAGTAAATAGTCCATATAGTAAGTGTTTATTTGCTGCAAATTTGTGTTGCTTATTATACTTGTTATATCTGTAGGTGACTTTGGATTAGCCAAATTGTTGAATAAAGATGATCTTGCCTCTTCGGTAATAAACCCTACCTCATTATTCAAATTAGGAAGTTTCAAAATATAAATGTCACATTAACTTGTTGAATTTTTGTTATTTGGTTGTTGAATGTGATGTAGATTGTGGGTACTCCAACATATATGTGCCCTGAGCTTCTAGCAGATATACCTTATGGATATAAGTCAGACATATGGTCTCTAGGTAAATTAATCATCTTGTTCAACTAAAAGCGATTTTTTTTTTGCATTCTCAATTGATTGTAATGGTTTGCTTCTCAGGTTGTTGTATGTTTGAAATTTCTGCCCATCAAGCTGCATTTTGTGCTACGGTTAGTCATTAAACTTTACAAGACTATAACAACTATAATGTGTTGCGTGCTGTGACGACCATATGTGAAATTAACTCGAAAAAACAGGATATGGCTGGGTTAATCAACAAAATAAACAGGTCTACTATATCTCCACTTCCAACCATATATTCTTCTACATGGTAAGACGATGCATCAATTTCTCATTCCCACAGTACGTTAATTAAGTTTGTAACTGCAGCTTAATCAATTTCTTATATTGATTTGTTCGTTCCAGGAAACGACTGATTAAAAGCATGCTAAGAAAAAGCCCAGAACATAGACCTACGGTACGTGTTAATTACTACTTGCATTCTGTTGTATGTTGCATAAATATTTACTGATTCATTACTTCTTGTGTCTGAATATATATTAGGCTGCAGAGTTGTTAAGGCATCCACATTTACAACCATATCTTGCTAAATATCAGAACTTGTCACCAGCATTTGTTCAAGTATGTTGTGATAAGGATGTTATTAAACAGAATCCTGATCAAACTCACGAGAATTCAACTTCCAAGGATATTAGACAAGCAAAAAAACACGACAAGGTTGTAGTTGTTCATGAATTTAAAGGTAATACGTGTATGATTAAGACTAAACCTGGAGATTTGGACTATGAACGACTGCAGAGGATATCCGTCAAGAAAAGTGGAAGCACTAATTCTATAAGCTCCACAAGAAGTACTTTGACTGATAATACAATTGAAGGTACAAAATGCTTTTATAAGAAATCAGGAATACCAAAACCACATATTGAAGTAACTTCACATGCCAATAAAGTTAGAGCTAATGTCATTGATCATCTAAGTACTAATGAAAAATGCGATGATCACAAACGAGCATCGAGTGATACTTCAGTAATGAGCAATGGAAGGGAAGAAGCATTAGAGTCATTACTTGAACTTTGTGCAGAGTTACTTAAGCATAAAAAGCTAGAGGAATTAGCTGGTGTGCTAAAACCATTTGGTGAACAAGTTGTTTCTTCTAGAGAAACAGCAATATGGTTGACAAAAGGATTAATAAATCTTCAAAATCCAAGTGAAGAAGCTTAGAGTGCCTCCTAGGTTGTTGAGATTTTTTTTGTAATATACTTACCTCCGTCCCATTTTATATGTCACATTTCAGATTTCAAGAATCAAACAAGTATATCTTTGATCGTAAATTTTTCAAAAATCTTTTAAACATTTTGAATTATCAATTATTGTGACTCATAGTACTTTTACGTATTTTACAAATTTATAAATTTCATTTCAAAAAAATTGAATATTCCATGCGTAAATTTCCGATCAAACTTAAACTGTTTGACTCTCAAAACATAAAATGTGTCATATAAATTGGAGCAGAGGGAGTAATAGCATTGGAGTTTTTTTTTAATCTTTTATGCATGAAGATAATGAGCATTTTATTATTTTTTAAAAAATTAGTTTATTTAATTAATTGACCTTTTAAGTGAAATATTAATAGTTAAGTGACTTTTGAATTGTAAAGTAAAATTGACTGACTTTCTAAGTGAATTATTCAAAGTTGAGTGATCTGATGAAAAATTATTAATTTTGTGCTCACAAGCTTCAAAGTGTATTGAAAAAATAAAGAGTTACAGTATTTCACATAGAGAAAGTAATTATTTAGTCTAATGTACCAAAGAAAGAGTATAAATCTAACATTAATTTTGAATAAGTAAATTGATAAATGAATATAAATATGTGTAAAATAAGGATGGTCATTATCTCATAAAAACGATATTTCATTTTATAAGAACAATACCCTTTTTTTTTTGACAAACAAGATAATATATTAATAACTAAAATGCATCATTACATGGTAAAGGAAGATGAACTTGCATGTTGTTACAGTTTAGGGGAGGGCGTTACTAATATTATTACACTTAAACAATATAAATATTGGTCGCTTTAGTCTAACAAAACGAGTTTCAAACTTTGTCTGCTTCAACTTTCTTCAAAACAAACAAGGGTGGAACTTCCCAAAAAGAGCTTGAATTAGCTGACTGCATATATTGTTGGGTTATAGCCCATGTTCCAGCCAAAGGTCCATAGCCTAATCCTACTTGAAAAAGGATTGAAATTATTCTATTTATTTGGTTTCCAATTCTATTAGGAAAAGGATTAGAATTGTAATCCTATTTGTAGTTGGTTATGACTTTGTAAAGGAAAAACACAAATCTATAAATAGAGGATGGTCTTGAGAGAATAATTTCTTGCTCATTGATATTTTCTTTTAAAGACACTAGAACATAAGAGAGTTTTTTTTAGAGAGCTTTCAACAGGAGAAAAGAGAGAAAGAAAAGGGTTCTTTTGCTGCAGTCTTTTTCTCCGACCAGCAATGTTCAAATCGTGTTTTCCGATTAACTAACCATTGGATCGGGCTGAAATTTGGACTGGGTATTCCTGACATTTTGGTGGTTGATTTAAACGGTAGAGTTCGAATTCGGAGATCAGCAAGGTCTTGTTTTTGTTCTTTTCATTTTTATTTTTCGTCACAACAACTGGTATCAGAGTTAAGGTTATCTATATGGAGGGGAATATGAGTAAGATGATATATCTAAACGGAAGAAACTACAACATATGGAAAAACAAGATGAAAGATCTATTGTTCGTGAAGAAGATGCATCTTCTGGTTTTTTCTGCTCATAAATCCGAGAATGTTACCGATGAAAATTGGGAATTTGAGCACCAACAAGTATGTGGATATATAAGATAATGGGTTGAAGATAATGTTCGCAACCATATTGTGAATGAGACACAAGCTAGAACATTGTGAGAAAAGTTGGAGACGCTTTACGCTTCAAAAACTGACAATAAGAAGCTGTTCTTGTTAAAGCAATTGATGACCTTTAAATACAAGAAGGGCAGTCCTATTCTTGATCATAGAATGATTTTCAGGGTATTCTTGATTAGCTATCAGGAATGGGTGTTAATTTTGATGATGAAATACAAGGACTTTAACTTCTTAATACTCTATCTGTATTCTTGAGAAGCTCTTCGTGTTTCTTTAACAAATTATGCCACTGGTGGAAAGGTGACTATGGAATATGCAAAGAGTGGCGTGTTGAATGAAGAGATTAGAAGAAAATCTCAAGGCACATCTTCACATTCAGATGTTCTATATACAAAAGATCGAGGGAGACATAAGACGAGATCCGAGGAATAGAGGTAAAAGCAGAAGCAAGTCAAAATTCAAGAATCCAAATATTATATGTTATCATTGTGGAAAGAAAGAACATATTAAAAGATTTTGTAAACAATTGAAGCAAGATCTTAAAGAATGGAAGAAGGAAGAAAATAATGAAAATAATGTTGTTGTTGTTGTCCAAGATGACCTTCTCTTCGCTTGTGATAAAGACGTCATCAATTTTGTATCTCAAGATACAAGTAGGATAGTAGATTCTGGAGCCACATCACATGTCACACCAAGAAAAGACTTCTTTTCATCTTATACTTCTATTAACTCTGAGGTGTTAAAGATGGGTAATACTGGTGAGGTTAAGGTGTTTTGTGTTGGCACTGTTTGTTTAAAAATCAATACCGGTTCCACGTTGGTCCTTCAGAATGTCAAGCATAGCTCCAGAAATTCCCTTAAATTTGATCTCTGTAGGACAACTAGATGATGATGGCTATCATAATGACTTGTCCAATGGCCAATGGAAGCTCACCAAAGGCTCAGTAATTTTAGCTCGAGGAAGAAAACATTCAGATTTATACGTGACACAAGGATAGATTCTTGGTGACTCTATAAATTTGGTAGAGAGCGAGACTTTATCAGAATTGTGGCACAAGAGGCTTAGTCATATGAGCGAGAGAGGGATCACTTGTTTGGCTAAGAAGAATTTTTTTGCTGGTTAGAAACAAACAAAGGTGAAAAGATGTGTTCATTGCTTAGAAAGGAAACAGAAAAGAGTTTCTTTTCACAGTCATCCTCCTTCAAGAAAGTCTGAGCTATTGGATCTAGTACACTCAGATTTGTGTGGTCCTTTCAAAGTGAAGTCAAAAGGTGGTGCACTTTACTTTGCTACTTTCATTGGTGATCATTCTCGCAAGATTTGGGTATATCCTTTGAAATCCAAAGATCAAGCTCTTGATGTGTTTAAACAGTTTCAAGCCTTATCTGAGAGACAAACGGGAAAGAAATTAAAATGTATTCGCACTGATAATGGTGGTGAGTATATTGGTCCCTTTGATAACTACTGCAAATCGGAAGGAATTCGTCATCAGAAGAATCCTCCAAAGACTCCTCAATTAAATGGTTTGGCAGTAAGGATGAACAGAACTTTAGTTGAGAGTTAGATGTGTGCTTTCAGAGGCTAAACTTTCAAATTCTTTTTGGGCTAAAGCACTTAACACTGTTGCTTACGTTATCAATTTGTCTCTTGTTGTTGCTTTGGATGGTGATGTTCCAAACAGAGTTTGGTTTGATAAGGATGTTTCTTATGATCACTTGAAAGTGTTGGGTGTAAAGCTTGTGTGCATGTTCCAAAAAATGAGAGGTCAAAATTGGATGTTAAAACTAAGCAATGCATCTTCATTGATTATGGTCAAGATGAGTTTGGATATCACTTTTACGATCCAATTGATAAGAAACTCATTAGAAGTCGTGATGTTGTGTTCTTTGAAGATCAAACTATTGAAGATATTGACAAGACTAAGAAACTAGATTCTCATACTGATGAGAGCTTAGTTTATGTTGATCCTATTCCTATTATTGATACATCTTCTGCACATGAGGAAACCCAAGGTAATAATCCAGATAATAATCAGAGTGTAGAACATATAAATGTTACTACTTATGATGTTGTGGTTGATAATCAACCAACTCATGGTGAGATATCCACTTCGAATGATCTAGAAACCTCTTATAAAAGATCTACTAGATAAAAGTGAAGCTCAACACGTTATTCTCCTAATGAATATATCCTCCTGACTGACATGGGAGAACTTGAAGGTTATGATGAAGTCATGTTAAATACTCATATAGATAAGTGGAAAGAACTCATCGTAGACAATCATGAGTTTTGTAGAAGTGTGACAGGCAGGAAGCCTGTCAAAAGTTACTTCATTTAAAGGTTGTAGTTGTTCATGAATTTAAAGGTAATACGTGTAAGATTGAGAATAAAACTGGAGATTTGGACTATGAACGACTGCAGAGGATATCCGTCAAGAAAATTGGAAGCACTAATTCTATAAGCTCCACAAGAAGTACTTTGACTGATAATACAATTGAAGGTACAAAATGCTTTTATAAGAAATCAGGAATACCAAAACCACATATTGAAGTAACTTCACATGCCAATAAAGTTAGAGCTAATGTCATTGATCATCTAAGTACTAATGAAAAACGCGATGATCACAAACGAGCATCAAGTGATACTTCAATAATGAGCAATGGAAGGGAAGAAGCATTAGAGTCATTACTTGAACTTTGTGCAGAGTTACTTAAGCATAAAAAGCTAGAGGAATTAGCTGGTGTGCTAAAACCATATGGTGAACAAGTTGTTTCTTCTAGAGAAACAGCAATATGGTTGACAAAAGGATTAATAAATCTTCAAAATCCAAGTGAAGAAGCTTAGAGTGCCTCCTAGGTTGTTGAGATTTTTTTGTAATATACTACCTCCGTCTCATTTTATATGTCACCTTTCAGATTTCAAGAATCAAACAAGTATATCTTTGACTGTAAGTTTTTATAAATCTTTTAAACATTTTGAATTATCAATTATTGTGACTCATAGTACTTTTACGTATTTACAAATCTATAAATTTATTTCAAAAAAATTGAATATTCCATGCGCAAATTTCTGGTCAAACTTAAATTGTTTGACTCTCAAAACATAAAATGTGCCGTATAAATTGGAGTAGAGGAAGTAATAGCATTGGAGTTTTTTTTAATCTTTTATGCATGAAGATAATGAGCATTTTATTATTTTTTAAAAAAATAGTTTATTTAATTAATTGACCTTTTAAGTGAAATATTAATAGTTAAGTGTCTTTTGAATTGTAAAATAAAATTGAGTGACTTCTTAAGTGAATTATTCAAAGTTGAGTTATCATCTGAAAAATTATTAATTTTGTGCTCACAAACTTCAAAAGTGTGTTCAAAAAATAAAGAGTTAAAATATTTCACATAGAGAAAGTAATTATTTAGTCTAATGTACAAACGAAAGAGTATAAATCTAACATTAATTCTGAA